TATAATTCTTTAAAAGATTTATAATAAATCCAAAAAATTAAATTTACTAATGATTTTTTTCCGTCACTTATTAAAGATCCCTAATTTATAGGAATTCATGTATGGAATGCACTTCCTTCCTAAATAATTTGGATAAAACTTCAAATTAATTTCTAAATAATTTAAAAAAGAATCCTAAAATAGTATGTAATAAATGATTTCCTAAATTTTTGGATTACTATTTTTAGTAAATAGTAATTCTTTTTATATATATATAGATTATTAAAGATTAACCATGTCAAATAAATTAATAAGTCGGTGTTAAAAAAATAAAAAAAGATCCCGATAAATACTAAAACTAACTAATATATATAATTCATAATATTCAGCAAAATGTATAATTTAGAATATGAAATTCAGTTAGTAAGTATAATTCATAACAAAATTTAAATATATAATAAAAAATATATAATTTAAATATAAAATTAAATTAATATTTAACTGTGTGTATATGAAAATTCACACATCAATTCACCTCTATATCTAAAAATTCACATGTGTTTTTTCAAATTTTTCACTAATAGTAAGTCAAACATTTTATTTTTTTTTTGTCAATTTTTCTATTAATGTATATTTTCAACAACCTCTTTATATATACTAGTAATCACTCGTGCGATGCACGGGAAAATTATAATATTTGTGCTTTTTAGAAGATAATTTTGTATATAAGTTGGGTAATAATGCAATGATCATAAGATTAGATATATAAACATATAATTAAACTGAAAAAAATTATATATTATTGAACACTTCTCTATATACAACATTATTGGTTTGATTCTTTGACAGATCATCTTACCCACAAATAAATATTTTCAAACTTTTTCGATTAGTGACACGGGAGACAACAATATATAACTGGTCATGACTGAACACTGTTTTCTTAAGAAATAAGCCAACATGAGATAATGATTGTCCATGTCTCTTGTTCATAGTCAGCAACATATAATTGGTCATGATAGAACACTGATTTCTTAACAAATAAGCCAACATCAGATAAGGATTGTCCCTGTCTCTTTTTATAGTCGTGGCGTAAGAAATCATATGGAGAACTGTCATATTTGTTTACATGTGTATTTAACTGTCATATCCGTCTACAAAGATGACCACGAAATTTACATGTGTAATTATTTTTATTATGTTTTTTGAACATCATTTGACTAACTTCAATAATCCTCTTACTTTTTACTACTTACATCTCAATCGATGTGTCCCGCAAAGGAAAATTACTCGCTCCTAAAAAATGTCCAAACATTGAT